TTAGGGTGGTCGGGGTTGGAAATAGGTGGACTTAGGAAGGGGAGGATCTCCCGTGGGTAACACCAAAGAAAAATTTTATTAAGTCTCCCCCGCACCCTCACCCGAAGGGAATAAAAGGAGATTTTCAATTGTTCTGGGTCTTCTTTTAGTCGGTGAAACCCTTTTGCCCGGAACTTTGTCTTCCCCAAAAAAATTACCTACATGTTACTAGAAAAAAAACCATAAACCTCAAGTTCTGTGAAAGTCTCCTGTCAAACATATATAGCACTTCTTAGGATTTATTATTTCATTTACTTTGTCAGTATTATCGCTCTCCCCTGAAAATTTTTGGTAAGAAAGTACAAAAAGGCACTCCTCACAAAAAACTATTTACAATTAGTAGTACACCCAACCCACCCATCCAAACCCACTATTCCTGGGGCACCCTGCCTTTCCCGGGGTCCCCAAGGAACTTGGAAACGGGGACCCCGGCTTCGGTCCGAGAGGTCACGACCTTGGAAGTTTCCGGCCGGGGGGGGAGTTAGGGTAACAGTCCTGAGGTACCGACGTCATACCATTTCTACGGTTAACCTTTTGAACTTATGTTTCGTAAAATCATCTGTCTTTCTTTGGGTTCCCACGTAACTTTCGGACCAGGCTTTAGATTACACTTGGAACGGAGGAACTACGGGAAAAGGAAAAATAACAACAACCAACGGGCTTTGAAGTGCCTGGTTAAATAGTGAACTTAATAGACGGGGGTTAAAGAACTTAAGGGGGATTGTAGTACCCGCTGTACTCGGGAGGCGGTCTAAGGGGTCGCCAGTACTTCCCAAATAACAAATGGAAGAATGAAAAAACAGGTAGGGGAAAAAATCAATTCAAGGGAAAGAAAACGTCAAAAGGGTGTGGAAAACCGGGGAAAACAACGGTTAAATCTCCCAAAAAAGGAAATAACGTTTTCTTTCGGCCCAGCCACCCGATACCGAACAACTCGGAAGTATTAACTTTTTTATTCTAATAGGTTACCTGGATTGTTTGGTCAGTCTAAACTAACGGAGACTATAAATTGCATGAGTTTCTAAAGAAAAAATATATTTGACATTTAAACGGAAGCCTTCATTAAATTTTAAGGGGTTTAAAACCCCATAAGTTACCAGTTTTGACTTTACTTACATAATCTTTATTTATGTGTGTGATTGGCTAATGGTTACACAAGCCAAAAATCGTTATGACATCATAAAGTGGCCAAAATCTGATCAGCTCATTTTTAGGCAGGTTTTTATCTACCGTAATTTTCGGACTATAAGGCGCACCTGAATATAAGCCGCAGCAGCTAAATTGAATGATGTGTACATATATAAGCCGCACTGGACTATAAGCCGCAGGTGTTTTAATGTTTAATTACCATATGTAAGGGTTCGTGCACAGAGGGGATTGTCGGGAAAGAGATGGCTGTTTGAGGAAGCTCCCATTTATTAACATTTCAACAAACAAGTTGCATATTTGCATAACGTATTCAAGTGTTACCATTTAGTGAAATAGTAGCTACAGAACATGTACTGTGCTGTGTAAACTGTACTGTATCACATAGTGTTTCAGACACACAAACTTTTCAACTTTCAAACTTAAACGGTGCGCTCCCACCGCACGTACCGCCAGTGATCTACAGCAGCGGGTTTCAACCAGTGGTACGGGGACAAACTGTCTCGCTCTCGTAATGTCTGTCTGTCTTGCTCTCGTTCTGTCTCTCATACCACTCTCGGTTCCACTTTTACTTTTGCGCGCTACCTGTCTCACTCTTTTCCGGCCTCCAGCTTTTCCTGCTGGAACCCGCCGCTTAAAGGTGGGGGGCGCGGACCGGCCATAAAGCCCATAGAGTTAAAGGTGGTGGCCGTTAGCTGTAAAAATCCATAGATTAGCCGCACCGTTATATAAGCCGCAGCGTCGAAAAATGGGGAAAAAGGCGCGGCTTATAGTCCGAAAATTACGGTACATTAAAAGTGTCTGCAAAGTCATTTAGTACTTATGTATTGTTTGCCCAGAAAGTACTAATTGTGAAGTAAAAGGTATTTTAAGTACTTAAAAAGTACAACTACTTAAATAAAAAGTATTGCTTGTGCAGGAAAATGTATTTGAAGTTAAAATAGTAATTACTTTTTTGCTTAATTCTATTTTATTTGACCATTTACATTTTAATTACTTTTTATCGCGTGATTAATCTTTACTCTTTCAATGGGTTCTTTTTGTATATTTATGGGCACACACTCTCAATTATATACACTACTATTTGTGAGTCATTTCATCATTTGAATATTAAAATGGTATTTATATTTGATCATTTAAATCACTTTTCTTTGCAGAATTATTACATGTTTCAGTACATGTCATTTTTGTTAGATGCTTTTATCCAAAGCGACTTATTCAGTACTGTGGGCAATCCCCAAAGGAGCAATTTGGGGTGAAGTGCCTTGCCCAGGGGCGCAACGACATGCTGACTGCAGTGGGACTTGAACTTGCTACCCCCTGATTCGAAGTCCAGCACTCTATCCATTGAGTCCCAGCCGCCCCATTTACCGCCCAATTACAGACATGATGAATATTTACGTTTTATTCGCAGACTTAATATTAGTTAATATTTACCTCTGAATGTATTGCAGTAGTTCCATGAAGTACCTTTAGACGGTACCTCTAGGATCTGATTGAAGGTATATGTGTATATATTGTGTAATGTGAGTGTCTCCTCTGCCCTCAGAGTTCTCCCTCAGCAGCGACCTCTCCTCTCTCTCTGGGTTCGGGGGCTCTGGTCTGGGGTCAGCCTGGCAGCAGCAGCAGATCCAGAACATGCAGCACTCTGCTCTGGGTCACATGGGGTGAGACGAGAGCCTGTCAAAATACAACAAAATATAATAAAGTATTTTCCGGACCAACCTCAGGTCCCGGGGCGACAGAGCCTTTTCTCCGTTGCTGCTCCTATGGAATTCACTTCTACTAATAATGAAATGAAACAAGAGAATTGTTCACTACCCCACCCCATCAGAGACTCTGATGGGACCGCACCCCAACTAAACTCCCCTCTCTCTCCCCCCTGCAGCAACTTGTGTCAGACCTCCAACCTGAACCTGTCCTCTCACCCGAACCTCCACATTAAATCTGAGCCGGCCTCGCCCCCCCGGGACCGCATGCTGAGCGCTCTGATTGGAGGAGGAGGAGGGGGCGTGTCCTCGTACTCTCCTCCCGGCGACAGCGCCTCGTCGTGCGGCAGCTCGTTCGAAGGCAGCGAAGAACGAGAAGATCATCAAGTTAACTTCCTGTTGCCCCCCCCCAACCCTGAGGAGCACCACAGCAGCCCTTCAGTGAAACGCATGAGGCTCAGTGAGGGGTGGGCCACATGAGGGGGGGGCCCATGATGGGGGGGGGGCAGGTAGTCAGGGTGACCAGGTGTCCGAATCTGTGTGGGACTCGATGCATTTTAATATATAATTTGTCCAACGTCAAAAACATTCAAATCAGACGATTTCCCACATTTGATTGACAACCGTTCGTCGAAAAACGTGGGTTTCTTTGTCTCGTTTCCAGCACTGTGAAGCAGGAAATGTTGTCGTAAAACTGCCATTCATCCAGAAATGAAATCAGCATTCTTAATAACCCCCCAAAAAACACTTCAAAACTGTCCAAATCGGATGTTTTTAACTATTGTCAATTTTAACTATAATGCTAATTGATGCTAATTGATGCCCAACATACCAGTGTATTTGCCAGCTTTGCCCAGCTTTTTGGGGTCAAAATTGCCCCTAAAACTTTATAATCAACCCAAAATTCATCACAATCAGCCGACAAATAACAAAGATATGGCCACCTATTAGTTAAAACTGCATTAGTGATCCAGAAAATGTCAGAAATCTAATCAGCATCCTCAATAACCCCCAAAACCACTCTGAAAATGAAAATGCACATTTAGGCCAATTGATGCAACTCATTCTCATTGTGCAAATTGCCCAACATATTAGTGTATCTGCCAGCTTTGCATAGCTTTTTAGGGTTAACAAAATGCAGTTTTGAGTCCCCTAAAACCTTTCAATCGGCCCAAAATAAGCCCACAAGAACTACAAAGATGTCTCTGGTTGGCACCTGGTCGCCCAGAGGGAAGGCCGTAACGTTACCTTATAGTGTTATTATTATTATATTATTATATTCTTATGTACTGAGTGGGTGTGCTATATGTATAACATGTACGTGAGGGGGGGGGGGGCTGTATTTACTGTAGCCGTACACCAGAGAGGAAACAGGAACATCTGGAGAGTATTTATCAAACTGCTAAGATCTACACAAAGATGAAAACGTTATCTTTAAAAAAACGTCCTTTTACTTACAGCTGCAAATATATAGATGACATCGAAGCATCTGATTAACTCTACAAAGGCAACGTTTGGGTTAAAATCCTGACGTGATGCTCGGTTGATGTTATGTTATTACAATTAGGCGAGATGTCTCTAGTAGTGATGCTAGAACATTTTAATTTAGCAGTTTGATCAAAATTCCTCCAGTTCTGAAGTGGGGACAGTTTGTTGTGTACATGTATCGCTTGTTCTGTGTGTGTGTTCGGGTTGGGGGGGGCATAATGATGAGTAAATAACAAATATACTACATGCACATCTCGATATGTGCAACATGTATGCAAACCAACAAAAAAAAAGTGAAGAAGTCTGGTACTCTGAACGGTTTCATATCACGCATGAGCGGGAACGCCATGTTGCAGGTTCAACATATTTTAGCACATTTTAAATATGAAGAGGGAAAAGTGTGATGAAGAGGAGGAAGAGGAAGTGGAGGAAGATGAGGGAGCTGAAATGAGACTAAAGGAGGATGGGGAAGGGGAGGTTTTAGTGTGAGCGGTAGAAAGTATTTTGCAACCGGTTGCATAGAATAGAAGTTTCACTTGATGTGAAAACGCTTCTCAGAGTTAGTGAGCTATGGTAGAAAAACTAAATGTGATTTTTAAGTGAATTGCAATCCAGATGTGTGGAAGCAAAGAAGTGGAATAACCTTTAACGGCTACAGATGTTCCACTGCTGAATACAAAACTAAAAACCCTCTCCTAAAAACTGGACATAAAATAAACATTATGACATTAATTATAAGAATGTAAGAGCTTAGTAAAAATATACTTGTATAATTTACACAGCTATTATTTAACTGTGAAAGTCACATTTTTATTTGAATGCTTTGAATATAGGGTAAGTTGCCCTAATGTGGGACACTTTAGCTCTAAGCCTAATGTGGGACACTTGTTTGAAGGTTGCTCCACCACCCTCATCTGTGATTGGACATTTGAGAAGTCATGTGATTTTGATTAAATTACATCACAGCTTGTGTTGACCCATATTGTGTTGCCTCTCATTTGTTTGAGGAAGACCTACACCGTCTGGAGCTCAAGTGTCCCACATTAGGGAGTGTCCCAGACTGTCCCATCTTTGGGGGTGTCCCAGACTGTCCCATATTAGGGAGTGTCCCAGACTGTCCCACATTAGAGAGTGTCCCACATTAGGGAGTGTCCCAGACTGTCCCACCTTAGGGGGTGTCCCAGACTGTCCCATTAGGGAGTATCCCACATTAGGGAGTGTCCTAGACACAACATTAGGGCAACTCACCCTACTTGTTATTAAAGTATTCAGTAGTGGTTTCGCATTTCACAATTAGCCTTAAAAAAAAGAATTCCTATTTTGTTGGGGCTTTATTTGCTTCCATACGAACAAAACCTGCGTTATTTTCCCTATAAAACCAACAGACATCTGGGGTTTTATGTAAAAAAATCAAGATGAATCCAAATTTGAGTGAAACTTCACTCATGGCCTTGTTGTTATGCACAGAGAGAGCTAGCTGTTAGCCGTTAGCTGTTAGCCGCTAGCCGTTAGCTTAGCCCTCCTAAAAGAAATATCCAACAGGACAGAGATGCTTTGCTGCACAAAGTTTATATAGTGTTATGTTTTTTTGAATTCTTTATTATATCAAATTGATATTCTTGGATGTCTGCAGCTCTATTTAATAAGATAACTTTAATATAAAAGTGTAAAAAGCAGATGGGCGCGTGTTTATTTAACATTCAGGGATTTAAAAAACCCTTTAAAGTTTAGATGGTTTTTTTCGACGTATTTGGATAAATGACTGTGGTGGTTATCATATATGCAGTATTTACAGTGGGGAGAAGTACAACAATCATTTACTTAAGTAAAAGGACAATAGCCTACATGTAAAAATAGTAGCTATATACCATTCAAAGTCCTTCGTTTGATTCAATCATGAATTTCGAAGTAAAATCTTGCAGTAAAAAGTGTATTTTTATCTGAAATGTAGTGGAGTAGGAGTACAAGTACCTCAAATGTATTTCCAAAGTACAAGAATTGAGTAAATGTATTTAAGTACATCCCACCTCTGTGTTTTTGTAAATTTAAAAGGACTTTGTGGACATTTTGAATAGTTTGTGCCTTGTATCTAAAACTGTCTCGCCACAATAAGAGCCGGAATAGTCTCATACACCCGCCACAATAAGAGTATATTTGATATCCATGATGTTTGTATTTAATAAGAGACAGAGAGGACGCTGAGGGTTTGTTCACATTTGAATATTTTGGTTTTAAAACTGTATATTTGGAGCTTGGACCCTCGGCTGCAGTCTGTCTGTTTGCGCCCCATCTGCTGTCAATCCAGTAAATTAACATGTAAAAGAAAATAGAATCTGCTCCAGGTTGAAAAATTAAAAAAAGAAGACGCTGCCGTTGAGTTACAAACTACACACTGTGTGTTGAGAAGAGAGATGCTTCTCCTGCTTTTCTTTTCTCCGGGTTGTCGGCCTCAGATGAACGAACAAAAGTGTGTGTGTGCGGTTTGATTATCTCGTTAGTAACTGCCTGGACGTGTACCTCAAAAATCCCCGATGAAATGATTTGTATTTGACGCATCCTCTTTACATGTGCTTCTAATAACCACAAGGTAAATATATTCTATTATACAGAGATTGTTAGTGGCATAAGCTGGCCTTTGTCGCCACTTGGAGACAATGTTTCTCAGAAAATAAGATCCTGTACAGCGACTCCCTCACTCAGAAATGTGCTAGTATTTGTATTTTGCAGAAAAAAATTACTGAAATAAAGCAGGCTCTGTTACAAAAGTCTCCGTGTGGTTTGTCATCATTGGTGTTTCATTTGGGGGTTTTCTTTTTGAAAAGGGTTGGCTGCACGTGGAATTTTCCTAGAGAAAAAGTCATGGTAAGTCGAAACATTTGAAAGAAAGTCATAGTTCAGTATGTTGACAAATATTTTAAAAAGTCATAGTAAGTCGACGAAAATTGGAAAAATTAATAGTATAGTATGTTGAAAATAAAAAGTCGTAGTACGTCGAAAAATATGAAAAAGTCATATTATATATAGTATGTAGAAACACTTGAAAAAAGTAATAGAATAGTACAGGGGGGTCAAACTCAAATACACAGTGGGCCAAAATAAAAAAAATGGGTAGGCCTACTAGTGGAGGGCCGGACTGGTTCAATGTTTATTGCAAAACTTATTGAAATGAACTTATTGCACATATTAAACCTGGAACTAACAAAGCTTCAATGATTGCCTATAAAAACAACATTAAACATTAAATAATCAGTTGCATTCATTTCTTATGGCTCTATCTGCAGCTTTTCCAGAGTCATTTCTTATGATTACATTTTCTCACAGGCCAACAACAGCTTCAACAAAACTATTTCCCTCAAAGAGAAACCAAACATGCCCTGTTGTCGTGAGAGAGAAAGTGCTGAGGAAGCATCCATTAAACTCAGTGTGCTGCTCTGTGATGCTAGTTCAGATACTTGGCATCTCATCTTGGGTGCAAGGTCATCAATGTTTGGGCTCAGGCTCTGAGCTGAGGAGACCCTCAGGATGGAGTGAAGGTGTGCGTGCAATATACCGGAGGGCCAGATCTAATAGGAATTAGAAATTATCCTGCGGGCCGAAATTAAATCCACCAAGGGCCTGATTTGGCCCCCGGGCCTTGAGTTTGACACGTGTGATATAGTACGTCGGAACATTTGGAATAAGTAAAAAGAAAAACTCAAATAAACGCTAATATGAAAATGTAACATCTGAAACATTGAGGACCCCTCATGAACACACACGCACACATCCGTCAAGTCTTCTTCTTTGTCGAAGTATGTCGAACAAAAGGAAGAAAAGTCATTGTATAGTATGTCAGAACATTTGAAATAAGTAATCGTATAGTATGTTGAATAAAAAAATAAAAAACTCATAGTACAGTATGTGAAAAAGATGAAAGAAAGTCATAGTATAGTAAAATACTAGAAAATGACTAGTATTTGGAAAAATTGAAAAAAGTCATAATATAGTATGTCTAACGATATGGAAAAGTCATATTATAACATGTGAAAATAGAAGAGTTGTGAATTTGGACTCGGTCAGTATTAATTGAACCCAGCTGTGGCTCTGTGTATTATAATTTGTAGAAGTATTCAACACTCCTGCATCATGGTGTGTTTCTGCAGACTGCCTGCAGGGGGCGCCACTCACTGACAATAACTCTCACATCTCTCTCATCCGCATCACGCTTCAGAAGCAGGATTCACATTCCTCCCTTCTCTTCAATCTCAGCTGTTTACTGTGAAATATGTAATAACACCCCATCGCAAATGTGTAAATCCTGGATTTCTTCGAGAGGTTTTCAAATACAAACATCCCATAATTCCTGCCTCCCAGCTCCCTCTGATATGAAGCTTTTTTCACATCCAATACTATTACTTTTTAATGTACTATACTACAACTTTTAAACATTTTTTGACACACTATACTATGACTTGTATCACATTTTTAAACTATATATCTTTTTCAACATAGCACACTGTAATTATTCATATTTTGTTACTTTAATCCTCATTTTTGACAAACTCATGACTTTTTTCTCTTTTTTTCAACATTCTTCACTTTAACTCGTGCAAATATTTTCCCTGGACAATGCTTTGACTTTTCCCAAAATATTTTGCCTGCAACCGAAGCTGAGAAGTTACCAAGGACACGCTGAGAGCTGGCCTGCAGAGTACTTCCATATCTCTGTGTGTGTGCGTGCGTGTGTGTGGGCATTTCTCTTCTGAAACTGAAACACACATGCAAACACCTCAACAACATGTGACTTCAGTAAATATATCACACACTAAAACACTTTTCAGTGTGACGGGGGTCTTGAGGGTCATGTGAGAAACATCCAAACACAGCTTTTTCTTTCTTTGCAACATGAGAAGGTCTTTTAGAAATGTGATGCCGATCTGTGAGTGTGAATGTGTGTGTGTGTGTGTGTGTGTGTGTGTGTGTGTGTGTGTGTGTGTGTGTGTGTGTGTGTGTGTGTGTGTGTGCGCGTGTCTCTGCAGCCAGTTCAAACCAGTTTGTGTTTATCAGCAGGACAGACGCAGCCTGTATGGCAGAAGCCAAAACATTGTTCATGTGACCTCTGCTGGGTGTGTGTGCGTGCGTGTGTGTGTGTGTGTGTGTGTGTGTGTGTGTGTGTGTGTGTGTGTGTGCGTGCGTGTGTGCGTGTGTGTGGAGCTTTCTGTCCTTGGGCGTTGTGTAATTAATAGTCAAGGTAAAACTCAGAATCACAGTCACAGAGCCCTCACACACAATCACAGATATGTAAATTTCACGCACACGCACACACACACACACACACACAGGCACGCACACACACGCACGCACGCACGCACGCACACACACACACACACACACACACACATCAATGTATGCTAATGTTACAAGAACGGTTGTATATGTAATGGAATTTCCTTTACTTGGTGAAAAAGAGCCAATAAAACATCCTGCATTGAAACTGATACTTCAGTGCAAACACGTACTTCAAGTATCGGAAGTCAAAGTATTCTTTGTGCACAAATATCTGACTCTATGTAGAGGTTTAAAACACATGAAGAAACATCTTCAGCAACTTGACAACACATGCAGCTTTTACGGTGTGGCAACACGGTTCCGTCACGTTGAAGCTTGCCGGTGGGCCTGTCTGGCGCGCGACCAACAACCAATCACATTAATCTCCCGCCCCGGACCCACAAGCACGCGGTTTTATTGGCTAGCGCTTGTACTGGCATATGATTTGATTGGCTGGCGCTCAGGACTATAAAGCTGAACACTTAGTTATGAGACGGCTAACTCTGACTGACACAGAGACAGTTGTTCAGCTTTAAAATCATGAACGCCATGAAGCTGTCCCAGCTGTGTGCGTCACTCTTTAGTGTCCCCTGGTCTCCCAGCTGTGTGCGATGGGAGGCTGTGGCTCGGTGGATAGTGTGCTGGACTTCGAATCAGGGGGAAGCAAGTTTGGGTCCCACTGCAGTCAGCATGTCGTTGTGTCCCTGAGACACTTCACCCCAAATTGCTCCTGTGGGGATTGTCCACAGTATTGAGTATGTAAGTCGCTTTGGATAAAAGCGTCTAACAAATGGCATGTAATGTAATAATGTGTGCGTCACTCTTTAGTGTCCCCTGGTCTCCCAGCTGTGTGCGTCACTCTTTAGTGTCCCCTGGTCTCCCAGCTGTGTGCGTCACTCTTTAGTGTCCCCTGGTCTCCCAGCTGTGTGCGTCACTCTTTAGTGTCCCCTGGTCTCCCAGCTGTGTGCGTCACTCTTTAGTGTCCCCTGGTCTCCAGCTGTGTGCGTCACTCTTTAGTGTCCCCTGGTCTCCAGCTGTGTGCGTCACTCTTTAGTGTCCCCTGGTCTCCCAGCTGTGTGCGTCACTCTTTAGTGTCCCCTGGTCTCCAGCTGTGTGCGTCACTCTTTAGTGTCCCCTGGTCTCCCAGCTGTGTGCGTCACTCTTTAGTGTCCCCTGGTCTCCAGCTGTGTGCGTCACTCTTTAGTGTCCCCTGGTCTCCCAGCTGTGTGCATTACTCTTTAGTGTCCCCTGGTCGCCGTTGTGTTTGAGCTTCTTCAGCGTTTGGTTTCTGCAGCTTTTATGTCTCCTCAAGCTGCTGGATGTTCTCTAAACGCTGCATGTGTTGTCAAGTTGCTGATGATGTTTCTTCATGTGGAACTTTTGGGGTTTTATATATATTTTTTGTAAATGCCATAACACTTAATGGTGTGTTGGGACCAGACTGGTTGGGACGTTTTAGCGCGTTTGCTCCGGTCGGCCACCGTACATTTCCCGTCACAATATGAAAGTGATAAATATATTGCAGCTTTATTCTACACTGCGTAAATAAAGCTCTAAAAATACACTCCACTAAACCTAAACAGATTGATGTCTTTAGAAAGTGCCGATGGGGTGTTCAAGATTATCTGAGCCATTCCACACACAAATCCCTGTTTAACCTACACACACACACACACACACACACACACACACACACTCTTCTCTCTCTCTCACACACAGACACACAAGGCTGCTGTATTTATATCCATTTAAAAATATCCTTATGTTCCTCTTTGGTTTGGTTTGTAAAGTTATGAAACAGCGTGTTGTTGTCGGCGGGGAACTAGATCAGAAGCTCTCGTGAGTTTTACTTCTGGAGCAGCAGAGAGTCAGCAGAGAATAAAGAAACAGCAGCTGTAGAACACACACACGCACACACACACACACACACACACACACACACACACACACACACACACACACACACACACACACACACACACATTGCATGGATTCACTGAGGCATGTTTTGGGTCCAAACATGATCCTATATTTGTCTTTGTTTACAAAATTAGCACTTCCTGTTTACAGTGTAGCCACAGACAACTATCACTAATATCAGAATCAATATATATACATTTATATATATCTTTTTTTATCCCGGGGGAAATGGGGTTTGTGACGGTTGCTCCATTTAAAAATGAAATAAAAACATGCTGTAATAAGATTACAATTAAAATATTTATATAAACATAATAAATTAATGTTAATCGTCCAATACAAACGAACTAAAGTAAAAAATATAAAAATAACAAAACTATGGCATTTAAAAAATAAATACAGCATAAAAAGTGCCCTATTTATTCTGTATCTGACATAATTGAATGTTAAATGTCTCTCTGTGTCCACTGTTGAGTCTTAATCTGCAGATACCCATGGCTTTTGCAGAAATCTTGAAAAATAACACAAATAAAAACACTAGAAACGTCTTTATTTTATAAAATAAACCTTTTTATTGTATCAAAAGTTGATCATGACAGCAATAACATCATGACAATAATATTGAATGCACAGAAATGGAATAAACAGCAACAGATTATATGAAAAACTAGTGCAAACAAATCACACATACAAAAATATATTGCACTTTGAAGTTTTTAGGTGGAAGAAGTCATGTCTGAACAACATTTGATATATTCATCTGTAAACATTTTTATCGTTTTGTTTTTTTTGAGAGCACGAAGCTCCATCTTTACATCCATGTTTGGAAAAAATAAAATAAAAATACAGCAAGAGAAGCTTCGGAGCAGAAACCGACAGGCGACTTGTGGTACGATTTGTTGTTGGTCTGAGTTGTGCTTTGTCTCTAGACCCTGTCTGGGTTCATACACACGCACACACACACACACACACACACACACACACACACACACACACACACACACACACACACACACACACACACACACACACACACACACACACACACACACACACACACACACTCTTTAAGCTCGTCTTTAAGTGCTTGCGGTGGTCATTCTGTATTGTTTTTCACGTCTCTTTTTTCTGCTTTTTGTTCACAGGAAGTCATGAGTCCACCTGAAATCTAGAACCAGAACCAGAACCACGTCTAGCTTATTGTCCCGCCTCTAATGTGCCGTTTACATCGAGGCGTGACCATATTATTTGGACAGAATCTGCTGCAGCATGTAGGCAATCTGCAGAATATGAAAACCACCGAGAGGGAATGGGAATGTGACGTCGGCCATCTTTGGAGGATACGAGCTAACGCTACTTCATCCTTTAATAACTGTTACAGGAAGTAGCGTAACTCTATAAACCATGCCTGTAGGCACTATGTTGTCATTGGCAATCCAACGAACAACTAACTAAACAAATGAAGATTCATGGAATAACATTTTAATTGCGGTCGCTGAGTGTGAGAAGTGTCCAAAAACTCAACTGGTTTTGACCGTTATAAGTGCCCCACCCAGTACTCATAGTGTCATTTTGCCATACCTTGCATTGGGACGCACTTAGGCACTCGTAAAAAAAAAAAAATGTAAGTTCAGAAGTATGCAAATTGAGACACAGCATTAGCATGACTAGCCGACGTTTCGTTAGCATTCCGTTAGCATTACATTAGCTAACTGACTTCTATCCTGATGAATGTATAGTTGCTATTGGGCCTGTGGAGCTGAACGTCCTGTACTGTAAGTTAGACATTTGCCTCCAAAGGATTTTACATTGTTAAAATAGCAGAAAATGTACCCTAACGCTAGCTCCAAACACCAGGTTGGCGCCGAAATCAGTAACAGTGATTGGTCCGTTCTTCTCTTAAGTCATAAGTAAAGACTCGTCTATTTAATTAAACAAGGCTCCTCCGTGAAAAGCTATTTCTGTAATGTACTTTATGCATTTTGTACGAAAAACAGCTGACAGATTTTAAGTAAAAGCTGATGGATATTGATGCTAACCTCCTAAAATGGCCGCCGCAGAATGCACCTTCCCATTCCCGATAGAAAAAACAGTAATAACGGATTGTGCAAAGTTCACTGTAACGCTCCCTGAGATCTTAGTGTTTCCTCCTCGGAGCCTACAGTGGTGTCAGAGAACTTCTTTCTTTTTTTTAATTTTCTTTTTTTTGCCTCGTCTTGAGCACAGGAGGATATCGAGGATCCAAAGCTAAAAAAAAACAACCCTGGTCCATAAGTCACCGAATACTCAATGTCTGCTGCCCCCCTCTGGCCTTTTCACATGATATTTAATCTGGGGGCGGTGCAGCTGCAGGGGGACGGTGTCTTGTTTTGTGCAGAAGATTCCGTTAGCGTGGAGCTCCCGTTAGCATCGAGCTAACGTCAGCGGGACGGACACGTTTCGGGCCTCCTGACCTCCACGGGGTCTGGGTATGGATCCACCTAAAGAAGGGAGGGGGGGCATGTTTACTGCTGAGGGAAGGGTACATAAATACACACACTAACACACACCCTAATGTCACACAGGTCAAGTGTATGTTGTTGGGAGACGTCAGTAAGGAATGCAAAAGGACTCAAATTGGCAACTGGGGCAAAAAACTAAACAAAAGACCTTGTTTAAATTTAGATTGTTTACTCCAGGAAGTGGTAAACAAGTGACAAACATTTTGGGAAATACTTATTGCAGAGTAATCAAGTCTCTCACATCTGTGTGGTTAATATGAGGCCACAGAAGTTAGCTTAGCTCAGCATGCTAGCCTGGCCTTTTCACTCCAACAACACTGGATATTTTGCATATTTTGTAAACTCTTTTAACGGTTATTTGTTATTGTTTTTATTGCATTTTATTTGTATATTTTGTAAGCTCTTTTATTGCATTTTAACCGTATATTTTTCAAGTGAGTGTTATTTTGTATATATTGATTGCATTGAGCATATTTACAAATGTGTCTGTTGATTGTGTATATATATTTATATACATGTATTTAGTATTCCTCGGGATAGTGGGAAACGGTATTTTGATCTCTGTCTGGACACACAAACTGAAAGATTGACAACAAAGTTGACTTTCACATTTTTTTGACTTTTTAACGTAATTTCTCTGTATTTTTTGGCATATTTTGTATCGTTTTTTATTGCATCACAGCCGTTCATGTGTGTGTGTGAGTGTGTGTGTGTGTGTGTGTGTGTGTGTGTGTGTGTGTGTGTGTGTGTGTGTGTGTGTACCTCAGAGTAGAGTGGGGGGGGCAGATATCTGAACTCAGTGATGTAAGTGAGCAGAGATCCCCCCCCCCCCTCCGACCTATCACAGCCGACCAGACAGTTCCTCCTGTGAGACTCTGATATCGCCAGCTCACTGTAACTGGGAGGGGCTGCAAAAAAAAAAAAAAAAAATAG